GAAGCAGCTGTAAATGGAGGAGGCTGCATATATTAAAATTTATCAGCCTTTGTAAAATGCATTGCAATGTAAAATGCATTGCAATGTAAAATGCTTGAGTGTTTAGCACACATCATGGGATAATAATGAGCAGGATAATACATGTATGTATATATATATATATATATATATATATATATATATTTATATATTACAAAGAAAATTGAGTAAATTGAAGTTATACTGAAGAAAATAAAAAATCAACCCCGCTAGTTTAGCCGAATTTAAGTATACTTCCAAAGTAAGCGCTCGTTTGAGCATTGTGTAAGGTTGGTTAGATTCAAACAAGCTACCCTTTTTCCATAAATGTATAAGATAAAGATGTTATTTTATTATAATTATGTTCTCTACATTTAAATTGCTACCCAAGCATCTTAAATAGCTACCTCACTAGATTGAAATTAAAATTCAATGACTTTTTTTAAAGAATCTTTATCATATTCTGAGATTTCAACAAACGATTTCTTACATCAAAATTTAAAAAGAATGTTTTTTTCTGAATAATAAATTTTAAAGAAGAAAGATCCTTTTGTCTATTTGACTTATAGTTTCACAACTGTATGACATTATTTTTGCTCTTATCTAGTTTACCACTTTCCGTTATTCAAAATTTTCAAAATCTTGGCCTTTCAATTAAAATTTGCCTATACCATATCTATTTACTTGTTAAATTTATATAATCTTCTGATGCATAAACATTTTATTAATTTGTGTATAATTGCACTTCAAGTATTCCTTTATTTCTATGCATATTTATTATAATGATTTGGCCTTGTGTTCATGGTTCTTGTGGTTAAATCACAACCGAAATTTGATGACAGACGGACATGCAAATGCCGACATTTACAAAACACTGCATTCAAATTATATAATAAACATAAAATGTAAATTTAATATTATATATAGTTTTTTATTATTAAATATTCAAAACTTAATGAATAATTAAAATCAAAACGTTTGCGTTATAACGCAAATGTTTGCGTTATAACGCAAATGTTTGCGTTATAACGCAAACATAGGAAGAAATATAAAAAAAAACGTGTGGCGCTAATACGCTTCCGTAGTTTCCATAATAGTGTGGAAAACTATTTTGCCGAACTGGCGGACGGAAGGCAAACATTAATTCCACTTCGGCTTTGCCGGTAGGGGACTATAGTCTAATAACTCTATAAGGGTTCATTTGACGATTTCCGTCAAGTTGACTTATTTGTAGATCTTCAATGATTGTTCTTGGCATTTTTACTGTTTAAAAAGTTTCTTTCTCTCTCTCTCTGTTACACTTTCCCAGATAATATGCAAAAACCGCGAAATTTTCTAAAATAAAAATGACATTTCAGTGGCGAGAACTCCAAAATTATCCGATTTTTCTGAAAACTCCGCAAGCGATAGACCTTGATCTGCTGATCAATTCTAACTATGTGAGATTTGCGCTAACTGCTATAGTGTACGAGATATAAGCCAAAAAATTTAAATTTACTAAAAATTCACATTTCAAGGGCAAAAACTCAACAAGAGGCTCTCAAGAGCCTGAATCGCTCACCTGTAATTTTTTTGTTAAAATTTTTCATCAATGATTATTTTTGCTTTTCAATATATATTAATGAGTGGCTTAAAAATGCCATTTAAATGTTCTTTGTATCCGTCATATTTTCTTCAAAAGCAAAAAAAAATGCATTTTACCCCTATGTTCCATTTTAGCCATTGTGGCTATGTTTCTTGATGTACAAGGAAATAAAATACAAAATTTATACAAGATACTCTGAAACTCATTCAGCCTAAGTTTGGCTGAAATTGATTCAGCAGTTTCAAAGGAGAAGATTTTTTAATGTAAGCAAACTAGATTAGATGAACAAATTGTGAAAAATTGTCTTTAAAGGACAATAACTCCTTAAGGGGTCAATTGACAATTTTGGTCATATAAAACTTATTTGTTATCTACAAAAAATAACCTAAAAATCAGATACACGTTTTTGCTGTTTACAGTTTATCTTCATCTATAATACTATTCAAAATAATAACCGAAAACTGCAAAATTTCCTTAAAATCATCAGAGCAGGGGCAATAACCTAAAAATCAAATAATCGATTTTGCTGATAATTTCAGGGCAGGTAGACCTTGACCTTATGAATACTTTAACTTCTTGTCTGATTTGCTCTAAATGCTTTAGTTTTTGAGATATAAGTAAAAAACTGCATTTTACCCTATGTTCTATTTTTAGCCATGGCGGCCATGTTTTCTGAGGAAACAGAAAATAAAACACAAACTTTATTCTAGATAACCTAAGAATCATTCAGCTTAAGTTTGGTTGGAATTGGTTCAGTAGTTTCAGAGGTGAAGATTTTTTATCAAAGTTAGAAAACATGATAAACAAATTGTGTAAAATTGTTCTTAAAAGGCAATAACTCCTTAAGGGGTCAATTGACAATTTTGGTCATGTAAAACTTATTTGTAGATCTTACTTTTCTGAACATTTTTGCCTTTTACAGTTTATCTTTATCTATAATAATATTGAAGATAATAACCAAAAACTGCAAAATTTCCTTATAATTACCAATTTAGTGGCAGCAACCCAACAATGGGTTGTTAGATTCATCTGAAAATTTCAGGGCTGATAGAACTTCACCTAATGAACATTTTTATCCTGTAAGATTTGCTCTAAATGCTTTGGTTTTTGAGATATAAACCATAAACTGCATTTTACCCCTATGTTCTATTTTTAGCCATGGCCCCCATGTTTTTTGACAAAACAGAAAATAAAACACAAACTTTATTCTAGATAACCTAAGAATCATTCAGCTTAAGTTTGGTTGGAATTGGTTCATAAGTTTCAGAGGGAGAAGATGTTGATTAAAGTTAGAAAACATGATAAACAAATTGTGTAAAATTGTCCTTAAAAGGCAATAACTCCTTAAGGGGTCAATTGACAATTTTGGTCATGTAAAAACTTATTTGTAGATCTTACTTTGCTGAACATTTTTGCTGTTTACATTTTTGCCTTTTACAGTTTATCTTTATCTATAATAATATTCAAGATAATAACCAAAAACTGCAAAATTTCCTTATAATTACCAATTTAGTGGCAGCAAACCAACAATGGGTTGTTAGATTCATCTGAAAATTTCAGGGCTGATAGAACTTGACCTAATGAAAATTTTTACCCTGTCAGATTTGCTCTAAATGCTTTGGTTTTTGAGATATAAACCATAAACTGCATTTTATTCCTATGTTCTATTTTTAGCCATGGCAGCCATGTTTTTGACGAAACAGAAAATAAAACACAAACTTTATTCTAGATACCCTAAGGATCATTCAGCTTAAGTTTGGTTGGAATTGGTTCAGTAGTTTCACAGGAGAAGATGTTTGAAATAGTTTACACCGGACGGACGATGACGCCGAACGCTAAGTGATGGCAAAAGCTCACAGTTCCTTCGGAACAGTGAGCTTAAAATGTGGATACGACTGCAGAGGTCAAACTCTGATCAGTTGGGGCAAGTATGGACACAATATTCAAGCTTGATACAACTCTGAATTTGGATAGTGATTAAATATTTGACACATTATAGATTTCTGACACAGAATAAATGTGGTCACATAACTTAAAAATTTGAAATGGGACATTTAATCTACTTAATGGTCCAATATCCAAAATCCAATTCCATTTACTTATACTAAAGTTATTGTTTGGAAACCAAATGTCTTCGGACGACGACATAATAGCAATATATATACAAACGCAAATTTTTTGCAGTTGTATAAACATGGGTTGTCCAATTTTTTCTGAAAATATGACAGCTGATAGACCTTACCTGCTGATTATTTTTCCCATGTCAGATTTACTCTAGCTACATAAGTTTTTGAGATAAAAGCCAAAAACGGTATTTTACCCCCCATGTTCTATTTGTAGCACCAGTGGGTAAGGTTAATGATGGATCAAATTCCCGCAATTTAGGTAAGGGGAGCTTAATATTGAAGTCAAGGTCAGATGAACCCTCCAAGACAACATGTACAAATGTATATCATGCAATGATTCCATACATCAATTATAGTTGACCTATTGCTGTAGTATCAGATAAACTGAGAAATCCATGAAAACTTAACACTGACCAATGAAACAATGTAAAAATGTAAATGAGGTCAAAGTCATATGTAACCTGCCAGACAGACATGTATACCTTACAATCATTCTATACACCAAATGATGATGACATATTGCTCATAGTATATGAGATATGGACATGAAAAGCTTACCTTGGTCACTGATCCATGAAATGAGGTCGAGGTCAAGTGAACCCCTTCTGACCTTGCAATGATCCCATATATCAGATAAAGTTATCCTGTTAATCATAATAAGTGAGTATTTCACAAAAATGCACTCTTTAACAACTAGTTGCTGAACCATGAAAATGAGATCAAGGACAATGGAAATGTGACAGACGGAAATTTCGTAATATAAGGCATCTGCATAAAAGGTATGAAGCATCCAGGTCTTCTCCCTTCTGAAAAAAAGCTCAATACAAATAGTTTTACACTGCAACCAGATAGTAATCCCAACAGTGTATGTTGCATTCTGTGACTTTCATCACAGGCGAGAAAAAAACCCAACTGTGAGAAGCATTTTGTAGAAAGTTGATAATCTTCTTTTTTTCATTTTGGCCAATCCACTGTTCAGGGGAGAGGGATTTTTCATGCTCAACCTTTAAAAAAACAACTGTATGAAGTGATTTTTTTTTTTGAGAAGGGGGGACTTGAAGATGGCTTAAACCTATATATTCAAAATAATCAATGACTTTGCAGGAGAATTTGATTTAGTTTCAAACGTATTGTACAGGTTGTATTTGTTTTAGTAATTGATAGGTTTTTAAAAATCTGATTTTTAAATGGCAATTTCGTACAAAATAGTTAAGAGTTTGGTACTATTTTCAAATTCATATGAATTTACATTTAACTTGTATTATCACAAATACAAAAAAAGATGTATTTATTATAACTGCACACAAATATACACATGTACTGTAAGTATGATATAAATGTTATGCTAATTTTTATTGTTCCCTTTTATCATTTTCTTGACTTTTTTAAAACTATATCTGAAAGACTTGACTATCCCAGCAGTAAGTATAGTTTTAATACTCTGACCCCAGCTAGAATTGGTGACAATTTTCTGTATGCTTCTTGTAACATAGTCATCACAATGACTCTCGTGAGCCAAGTTCCGTATAATTTCCTCCATGTCTGGTAGGCCACCTGATCGCTTACGAAGTACCACCATATTGACATGGACTGACTTTGGCAAGAGATTTAAATGATGGAATTGTGATATATGTGTTGGGTACTGTTCTAGACGACTTTCATCTTTATGCCAGATCACATGATTTTCACCCTCAATTATTTTTTCATACAACTGCCTGAAATAAGGTAGGTTCGGTTTCACAATATTTGACACTTTATTTTTATCTTCTCCAAATTGCATTCTAAAATCTCCTGAATATGACAGACTTGTTATTTTTGTATACAACTCTTCTTCAGTGAATGATTCTGGAAGCAAAAGCAATGCAGCATGCATAGCACTTTGTAAATTAATGTGCATAGCAGATAATAAATGTTTATTTGTTGGTATAACTAAAAGTTTGACCGGCTTGTGAAGTCGACCACTCACATAAAGTGTATCCCAGTCTAATAAATCTGTAATGAGACGGTCAGTACTTATAACACCATATTTAATTAATGTTCCTTCATGTTGAACTAGGGTGTTAAAATATGTTCCTGCCCCATAATTATCCTGAATTTTTGCTACTCTTTTGGGACCAAAAAACCTCAGAAATGAGTAATGTTTGGGATACATTTTAATGTTTTGCTGATGCCACTTTTGTGGATCATCCACAACAAAAATATAATCCAGCATGTTTTTACTCATGTCAGTATGTCCTGTCTGTTTAAAAACACCAGATCCATAGGCAAAGGCCATTTGCATTCCATCGTTTGGGAAACTACCAATAATTCTTTGATGGACATCTTCACGCTTTACTAAAGTGGATGTCCAGCGTACAATAGTATGGAAATTCAACCTAATCATTTTATCAAAGTTTAAAATATTTCGCTGTTATTTATTTTTTCTTCAATTGATCATCTACAAATACACCCATCTTTTGAACATCTTCCATTTTCAACATGTCCAATTGTTTTCTACCCTGCCTAATGAGGTACTCTATACGTAATGTTTCTGTCCTTGGAATATTTGCGTTCTTTTTAAATTGGACTTTTACATAACTGTCAATCCCAGGCTTCTGTTTACCAATCTTTAAAAATTCTCTATATAATAACAAAACCTCTTTTTGAATCTTACTGTGACGTATCATACTGATTGATGATCACCTAAAAAGAAAAATATTTATAAAACTGAATTCTCAAATTTAAAAAAGATCATAACAAACTAGAGGCTCTAAAGAGCCTGTGTCGCTCACTTAGGGAATACATGTAGGTCTATGTGCATGTTCATCAAAGGACACTCTCCAAAAAGTCTTTTTTGTTGATCTTGTATTGCTGATTATTTTATCTGTTTAGTTTCTTTCTATCTTCTTTAGTTTTTGCTCAAAACACAAAAGAGGTAAAAAAAATCTTATTTAAGGGCAATCACTCCAATAAAGAGTGACAGTTTACTACCTATATTGGCAAAATTTGACTTGTTAGTAGATCTTGCCTAGCTGATCATTTTTGTGATTTAAAATGTCTAATTATCTGTTATAATTTTTTTCATGTAAGGCAAATGCTCTCTCAAGAGCCTGTGTCGCTCACCTGTATTTACTGATGCTTTGGAAATCATGTAAAATAAGGTTAAATCATAATTAATAGTATTAGATATTAGATATTATAATGATATCTAAGATAATAACAAAAAACTGCAAAATTTTTGTAAAATAACTAACTCAGGGGCAGCAACCCAACAACGGGTCGTCGGATTTGTCTGAAAATTTCAGGGCAAATAAATCTAAATCTGATGAACATTTTTGCCACCTGTCAGATTTGCTCTAAATGCTTTAGTTTCAGAGATATAAACCAAAAACTGCATTTTACCCCTATGTTCTATTTTTAACTAAGTTGGCCATGATGGTTGGAAGGCGGGGTCATCAGACAAATTTTTTAAACTAGATACCCTAATAATGATTATGGCCAAGTATGGTTACATTTGTATCAGTAGTTTCAGAGAAGAAGATTTTTGTAAAAGATCACAAAAATTTACGAAAAATTGTTAAAAATTGACTATTAAGGGCAATAACTCCTTAAGGGGTCGACTGACAATTTTGGTCATGACAACTTATTTGTAGATCTTACTTTGCTGAACATTATTGCTGTTTACAGTTTATCTCTATCTATAATAATATTCAAGATAATAACCAAAAACTGCAAAATTTCCTTAAAATTACCAATTCAGGGGCAGCAACCCAACAACAGGTTGTCAGATTTGTCTGAAAATTTCAGGGCAGATAGATCTTGACCTGATAATCAGTTTTACCATATGTCAGATTTACTCTAAATGCTTTGGTTTCAGAGATATAAGCCAAAATCTACATTTTACCCCTATGTTCTATTTTTAGCCATGGCGGCCATCTGGGTTGGTTGGCGGGGTCATCGGACACATTTTTTAAACTAGATACCCTAATGATGATTGTGGCCAAGTTTGGTTAAATTTGGCCCAGTGGTTTCAGAGGAGAAAATTTTTGTAAAAAGCTAACGACGACGACGGACGACAAGTGATGAGAAAAGCTCACTTGACCCTTCGGGTCAGGTGAGCTAAAAATGATAAAAATTGTCATTAAAAAAGGGCAATAACTCCAATAAGAAGTCATCGGACATTTTCTCTATACTGTCTTCATTGTAGATCTTGTCTTGCTGATCATTTTAGCTTATTTAAGTTTCTATCTATCTATTATAATTTTTAAGATTTAAGGCAAAAACGCAAAAAAATGGTAAAAATTGTCATCAAAGGGCAATAACTATAATAAGGAGTCCGCTTATGATTTCGATCATGTCGACTTATTTGTAGAACTTGTCTTGCTGATAAATTTTGCAATTTAAAGTTTCTCTCTATCTATTATTGTTTTCAAGATAATAGGCAAAAATGAAAAAAATGGTAACATTTGTCATTTAAGGGCAATAACTCCTATAAGAAATCTTCCAACAGTTTTGACGTACATGAACAATTGGAAGAGCTCAACATTCTGAAGATTTTTGCTTATATCAGATTTTTTTTTAACTATAAAGGTTTTTAAAATATTAGACAAAACTTGCATTTTACCCTATGTTCTATTTTTAGCCATGTAGGCCATCTTGGTTGGCAGGCAGGGTCATCTGACACATTTTTAAAACTAGATACCCCAATGCTGATTGTGGCCAAATTTGGTTAAATTTAGCCCAGTAGTTTCAGAGGAGAAGACTTTTGTAAAAGTAAACAGACGACGACGGACAACAAGTGATGAGAAAAGCTCGCTTGGCCATTATGGACTAAAAAGAGTGTACACTAGCACACATTGAAATGTCTCTCTTGTTTTTATCATGATTGAATTTTTGATTGATTTATTTTTTAAAGCATTTGGTTTCTGCAGCATAACTTCCATGACTTCAGTTTCCCTTTATGGATTTAGTTGACACTTATGTATACTCAGATGCTGCATGAGGGTATGTATACAGAAATCCTAGGTCAAAGGTTTAAGAAACTATTATTGACAAGTGGAAACATTGAGCTGCTCTTATGTTAATGTTTTTTTACAAAAAAAGCATTCATTATATCAAACAAACCTAACTGTAATTGTAAAACTTCATTTTCTGCCCACCTTATATCAATCAAGAGCACATAATTTAAAACCATCCTTTACACAATAATGGGTAAGATTTCAATTCGTTATCAAATCTTTAAATCTTATCTTAAATGTGAAAAAATATTGACACTCGGATTGACTCATTCCATTTGAAAGAACTAAGTTGCTATTCCTATTTTGGCATTGCACAACATCATGAAAACATCAAAATTGCTTTCAGCAACTGCTAGCATTCATTTTTAGAATAGATCTTTTGAGTTTCCTTATGTTACATTTGTATAAATTTCACCTTCAACTACAAAATGTGTTAATACATGTATGTCAACAGACATTCTCAGTATCAACTTTGACATAGTAAACAGGAATGGAATCTTATATTAATTGTTTAAACAGTATAGGTTAAGCTTATGTGAGGCCAAGATTTATCCTCTGCCCCAGCACAGCGTTGTGAAGAGTGACCTCTGTCAGACCATTGGATTGTCGGACTGTCAGACTATTTGACCATTGAACTCACTGTCAGACTACTAGAATGTCCTTATTTCTGGGTGTCGGATTATAGCTACTCTCCATGTGTACCTGGTTGTAGATGTAAGGAATGATAATATTCAACATGATTCATTTGTTCCTAGTTAGAAATTAAGGTAAAAGTATAATTTTCTTGACATACATGTCACAGACTCTTGACCATGTTGACTCTGTAAAAGAAACCAACCTACATGTAGAATATTAGAATATTAGAATATTTTTTTTTTTATTTACCAAATTAGGGCCCCAGGAGGGCATATAGCATACAAACAATATTATTATAAACAATAACATATGCAATACACAGACAATAGATATGTAACCTGTGTTATAAAAACAATAAAATAGAATAATATACTACAGAAAATACACTCAACAAAATAGTAGCAATGTATTATTATTCAATGAATACTATGTTGACATTGACTCAAGTGCACCCGGTAAGTGTATTTTTACTTTGAAAAACAAACAAGAGGCATTAGCAGTTTGTGCGGAGAAATCTCAATATAAAAAATAAAAAATAAAAAAAAAAACAATTTAAGCACTTGCACATTTGACTCTGAGGTATACTATACTGCAAATAACAAGTTAGTATATTTAATAAAGGATATTTAATATGACTTATCTGCAAAAAGCACCAAGAGTCGGTGCTTAAAGGGAAGTCCCTACTTGTACTTAATGCAGATGAGTCAAACTCCTAAATTATTTAAAATATATTTTAAAAACATATTTTTAAGATTATAGATTCTGTGTCCAGCCAGCAAAGATCATCAAGGGACGGTGCCATAGAATTTGAAATTCTTCTTATGATCTGTGCAGGCTTAACAGGGTATCCAAATTCATATTAAAGAGTTATATTGAAATTAGTTATTGCAGATTATGTTGTCCTTAAATTCTTAGTATCTTCTATATATTTATAAAATGCAAATAGTACATTGGGATCCTCATTATTCATTATCCAAATTAATTTGTTATTAATATTTAAATTTTGAAAGTTTGGACATGATTTTAATATACTTTGCATCAATTCCTCTCTTTTTAATAAATGAGTGTCACATTTAAATAAAAAATGAACTTCATCCTAACCCTCACCAGAGGTGCACCTGAGACAAATTCTGTTTTGTAGAAGAGTACCCTGGTATCTACCAGATTCAATTTGCAATTTGTGAGCAGATATTCTTAATCTAGTTATACATTTCCTTTGCTCAAAATGTCGCATTATTGACAAATAATTTTCAAAACCGAAGTTGCACTTGAATGTTACATAAGTTCATACTTTACCATCTTTATGTATATCTAGCTGTTTTTTCCACAATGTAGTATAGTATCCCTTAACAATCTGACCACAGTGTAATTTAAATGTTGAATATTTTTCAGGAATATGCTTTTCTATGCCTGACATTTTTTCCCTTAAAATATTAATTGATCCATACCAAGAGGGTTTTTTTTGTTTCAAATAGCTTTTGAGAACAATTATATGCAGCTTTTAACAAGGGAAATGATGAGCCAATATTTTCTAAACGATGCCAATATCCTAAAACATGTTTGACTATATCATAGTGCAGTGGAAAACGGCCTTATTCAGACAAAACTGCAAAGTTTGTACTTTTTCTATTAACACCTAAAATATATTTGCAGAATTTAATATGAAGTTTTTCACAAAGTATCCTTGAGTAAATTGTATCCACCGATATGTTTTCTTTTTTTAAACGTGCAGTAAAGGGATTAAAATATCCCCAAATATATACCTTGAAAGTGGTGTGTGTGTACACATGCACAGCACTTGTTTCTATTGTGATGGGATTGCTTCCCTTCATTAGTAGACACTTAGTCAGCTTTAAGCGGTTGAGCTAAGGAAATACTTCTTCAGCTCAGTCGGTTAAAGCGCTGCCTTGTAACACAGAGGTCCCTGTGGAGACAATGTAATTTTCTCATAAGAATCATGCTCTTCGGTTACACTATCAATGAGAAAGCCGACTATCATTCTTCTAATTCTATAATATATTGATAGTCTTCCTTCCACAGACACTTGTTGCTATCAATGAGAAGGTCGACTATCATTGTTCTATCATATATCGATAGTCGACCTTCCCATGGATAGAAACAAGTGCCTGTGCGACCTTCCCATTGATAGACAGAAGTGGCTGTGCCTGTGTGTATATCCTATCACCAATGCCATCAAGCTTCGCGTGCTATCAGATCATCAAATTGTGTGGGAATAAATACTTATAATTTTTTTCAAAAATGGTTACATTTATACTCTTACATGTTCTTGAAGTTTGCTCTTGACCAAACCATAAATGTAAGGGAGATAATTCTACGGCGTTAATTAAGTACGGTGAAGATATGTGGTAAATCCGGACAGTTTTTAAAATAAATGTGGACACACAAAAATGTCTCATTCTTATGTAAACTCTGTGATGATGAAGATAAAGACTTTGTTTTAGAACCTATAAGAAGTCCCTTCATAAATCAAATTGAAGATAATATACTTAAAGATGCGTCCATTTCCTTTTATAAATTGTCTGCAAATACTCAGACACAATTAATTATGGACTGTACTAAACTTAGACATCAGAATTCAGATTTATTATTGGATAGAAAAACAGAACAACTATGTGAACTAATTTCCAGAAAGTTGTGCTATGCACTGCATAGTATAAGAGCTAGAACCATAAGTATGCAGAAGAAACATTCAAAATAAGTGTATACTGTTTGAGTATTAAACTGATTTAACAGAACTAGTGATAGCAATTAAACAAACAATTGCGGACCTGTATATAAACTGTATATATATATTTGTATGATATTCTGGATGGTGGAGGGTCGTATATACTAATGCCTTCTACTAAGAGGTTGTCCTGAAGGACGGAGAAAGATTCAGCGGTAAGGTAAGGTATGCTTGGTTTGTTTTAACCTCATGCGCTGAATGGACCACCCATTTCTAAAATAATGATAGATGGTAAAAATTTATAATATATTTTTATTGTAATATCGTATGGAAAAGAGCAAGAACACATTGAATAAGTGAAAATAAGTTGAAATATCACAGAATATTTACTACTGTACTGTAAACAACAAATTAGAAAAAAATATAAATTAGAAAAAGGGGTGGGGGTCCATTCCCTAAGAGCCTGTGTTTTAAACGTGCATGTTTTTTAAAATGTTTTGTTTGTAATGAGACGATATAAAAGCTCAATAGCGCTAAAGTTTTCTTTATATTGATATTCGACTATATAAAGATAAAGCTTTGGAACATTAATCTAGAAAAGCATGTCCAACACATTAGGACACTCGGAACAAATCATTTATTAAAGACAAAAACCCAGCGATAAAAGTGAGCATCATAAGTACCGTATATACTCGAGCGTATATATAAAGGCATGAAATTTATATATTTGTTGTGTCAAAAATATAAAATAGGTATTGCAGAGTGTCTTTTACCGGTTCAAATTGAACTAAGTTAGATTAATAGAAAACAGGTTTTCCGTACCACTGCAAATATTGTAATCATATGATCTAACAAGATTGAGGAAAGTAATTTAATATAAGAATAAGAAGTTGTGGTATGATTGCCAATTAGACAACTCTCCATTCCTTCAACAATGAGCAAAACCCATACCGCATAACAAGCTATATAAGACCCCGAAATTACAAATGTTAAACAATTCTAACGAGAAAACTAACGGCAAATTGTGTGTATACAACAATAGACGAATATGCTATACAGCAACAAACGACAACCACAGAATTACAGGCCTTATATGAATATACAGCAAGTCAGATACATTTTAATGAAGTTGTAAAAAATCAGATATTAGAGCATATTTCAGTTTTGAAAGGTAGAACATGTGGGTAAATTGGACAATTACGTCAATGTAGAATAAACAAACACACAGCAATACGCACAGTAAAACTCAGTTTAAAAGAAGTCCGAGTCCGATGTTAGAATAGGTAACAGAAGAAACTAAGCAAAATGACAGTGATCAACATAAATTAACAAAGGACTACTAGCAGTTAATTACTGACATGCCAATTCCAGACCTCAATTAAACTTTAACCCCGCCGCATTTTTGCGCCTGTACCAAGTCAAGAAGCTCTGGCCTTTGTTAGTCTTGTATGATTTTTTTAAAATTTTGGTTCATTTATATGTTTCGAAGTTTAGTGTGACGTCCATTTTCGCTGAACTAGATATAAGAAGATGTGGTATGAGTGCCAATAGTACACATTTTTGTTTAGGGGCCAGCTAAAGCCCGCCTACGGGTGTGGGATTTTCTCGCTGTGTTGAAGACCCATTGGTGGCCTTGGGCTGTTTTCTGCTCTTTGGTCGGGTTTTTGTCTCTTTGACACATTCCCCGTTTCCATTCTCAATTTTATTTGATGCTTAAGAGGGAATTCTAAAACTTACATATTTTAAATACAGCTACTTTATACAGTTTAGGAGATTTTTTAGACACTTTAAAGGAAAGGAATATGATATTCATTGTTTTAATTTATGATTCTAAAGTGAAAGTTGCATTTATCGGCCATATTGGATCAATTTGGTGCCACCCATGCCTCTCTTTATTTGGGCTCGAAGCCATGTGGGCATGCTGTTTTTGGTGCATGCGCAACGCGCCTTTCAATCAAGTACCTCGCCAGTCTTAAACCGGCATCGAAGGAGAATCAAGCACTAGCAATATTAAATACAGTTCCATACAGGTAGACGGAGCAATATAGACCTTAGAATATTGTTTTTTAAACGTGAACTACTTGTAGACTTCTGAATACGGATACTGATGTTTCAAGACTAATAAAAAATTGTCTCCGTAATATAAGAATCTTTATGTCGTGATTATCGTTGCATATCTACCTTCTTGCTATGATGGTATTTTTTTCTAAGACAAAACGTAAGATACTTTAATGGCTAGACCGTCTCAATACTTCTAGCATTTTCCGTCACTGTGAAAATAAAAAAAAATATTTCAGCATTCACTTTTCCTAATTATCCCGCATTATAAGTTATCACAAAACCGAATGACATTTATTCATCTTTAATTGTACCATATTTGAAGAGATATTACAATCGAGTTATTTTATGTATTTTTTTCTGAGAAAATATTAATTCTAACTATATTTTCATTTTTATTTTCATTAGACATGATAGCTACGGATATTGTTACAATTACATGCAATCACGCCCATAATTCCGCAATAAAATTTGTACTGGACACCCATGCAGCGAAAGGTAATAAACTTTTATCTTACGATTTACCGTCCAAGAAAACTATCGACACTAAAACTTTTTTTCCTCGCTGAGAAGAACCAATGTGAGTAAAGAACATGTGAATTTATCTCCTGTAGGATCCTGTAGGTCATTCAGAAGGAAAAAAACCCGCTCATATCGTCGAATGGTGCACAGTATGCCAGAATTGTTACATTGGTGGAACATCTCCTCAAAATTGGCTCCTAAACGAACCTAGTTTTCATTGTTTTTTTGACATATGTTTGCATAAATAAATACTAGAGGTCTATTTTGGTAAACTGTACGTTAACCTGTGGCATTTTAAAATGTTTTTCGTTTAAAGACAAAGAACGCCTCTAACAGGATAACAGATTAAATATATTCTGTCAATACCTATATTTTAACATTGCACTAGATCATGTTTTTCTCTGACTGAATTCCTTGGATGTTGGATGTGTACTGATTGGTATTTTAGTCTTAGATACATGAATGTTTATCAGTGCCGGTTTTGAACTAGCTTTCAGTAACTACGAGTACTCTTAGATTTGTAGTTTGTGTCTTTTGTGGGTTTCTTTTTTTTTTTATGCTTTGTATCGATTTGATGAGTGAAGCCCTTTTTAACTGATTTTTATAGTTTGTTCTTGTGCTGTATTGTTTCTTCTCTATTTATTGCATACTATTCACTCACTTAATTAACCACACACACACAAACACATAAGGCACATAACCATTTAGGTCGAAAAAAACACAACGAAATCCTTTTTGGGTCCCTCTAAAAGTCTTTTCTAAGGGAAGGATATATGCCAAATATAGTCTTATTTATTTTGAAATTAAACATTTTAATAGTATTACTACTTCCCCCTGCTCTTCAAAGGCAAACTTACTTTTTTATATTACTTGCACCTTTTATTAAAAGCCTACAATGTTTCTTGGAATGCAGACATTTATATCTGCAACTATATTTGCATTAAATGCCATGATTTTTGTGATTCCCTTAAATGATAGAAGTAACTTTATCCTGCATAAGCATGCATCATCTATATTATGCTGGTACTATAGGGGAGTAAGGAATTGTTTAGCAAGTGATGGACAAGAATGTATTGCAAAGAATGGGTCAGTATATCACTAATTAGTCCAAATTGCACACGGCAACAGTCTTCAGAAGCACTAGAAGGCCATTTTGGGTCAAATACATGCATGATACGTCCTCTTGAGTCGATGCACCAACCAAGGCGGGCAATTGTCGTACGATTAATGTTTCAACATATTTAAAAGTTCTGGATTAAATAAGGAGCTATATGAAAACATACCTTCCGGTCATTTTGTAGTTTAACCGCCTAAATGTCATGAATAAATCGGCCATGTATGCAATATATTTTAAGATTAGGTGACAAGATATGAAGGACTTGCATTCGTAGAACGATAGCGCTTGTCGTGTTTTTAGAATCGACGTTAACTATGGATAAAAGTTGATGCAGCGTAAACTTTAATGAAACAATAACACAACAACAGAAAAAAAAGGAGTTCTTTAATTTATGCTAACATGACATTACATAAATTTATAATTCTAAGAAATTGAATATTGAAAACATTGGCCTAATTATTATCCAAACTTTTTGATGCTGCAAATGCCTTACTTTTGTTTAATATCCTCCAGTTATATTTCTTGTTTTTAGAAGTTACTCCATGTTTGTCCATTCATACTTTGAATCGTTCATTGACGTCCGAGGCGATCCACTCATCCGTCTATTTTAAAAGATGTTAATGTAACTTTGACACCTATTTATTGACAATAAATGTAAAATTTCATATGGAGTACTAAAAATATCATTAATTGATATCTCTCTGCAATTAATATAATAAGAAGTGATTTTAATATTGTATTTATTGCTGTTAATTAGAAATCGTTATTTCCCTTTAGTCTTCAAATGGACAGTTAAAAGTTTCCGGCAATATTATTCTTTTATTCACGAAATTCACACACAGAATCTGAAGGGGGCAGACTGCCTTTCCTTAGCGGAAATGACCAAATAGTTATGACGAAAACACGAATAAAAAGATGAAATCAGAACAGTTTTCACAGATGAAAGATACC